TGCACATCTATGTTCTGAAGAGCTGCATTTTTTTCCTCTTTAGAATTATTTAAACAGAAAGCTAGTCATATGTTATTTCATAGGAAACAGATGATGCAGGGTGAGTTTTAAACCAGTGGCAAGTAAATCACTTCATTTCCATTGTTTCAACAATGTTGACCAGTTTGCTGCCAGCTTGGATTTTCTAATTTTGATTTAAGCACAAGATTTATAATGGCTTTGTTTGGCAATGGGACTAAGGGATTGATGGTACACGTGTATGTGGGATTCTCATCACTGTAAGGCAACACTGTCGTTTTCGTGACAGAGTCTGTTTGACTGGTGCTGGATTTATGATAGAAATAATTCAGAACAGAGTAATAATTTTCCCTTGGCAATTACACTACCATTTGGTATTTTGTCCCTAAGGGGAAAACGAATGTGCTGGGATCTGTCCATAAGTTCAGTGGCTCAGTGTAAAGAACAAATCAAGGTCAAAATGCAGCTGAATACACACTGATGTTTCATAATATAGTCTAGATCTCTAGCTTTTATCTGACTTGTTAAGAGCTCATGTAACATAAAGATTATTTTGGATTGGTAAAGGATTTTTAGTGGGATATTTTTGTGATGAATATTTCATTACCTCATTCATTGCTTTCTATTTATTGTCTTTTTTTCTTTATAGCAATGGTCACTGTAGCAGTTTCTTCAGTGTAAGCAGAATAGTAGCTTGTTCAAGGGTCGGTGCTTATGATATTATGTAATGTCCTACACAACTTTATATTCATATTACTTTTGAGAGGTCTTTGTCTGTCTCTGCTCTTGTCATAAAAATAGGAACAACCTTTTTACTACAATTTGTCAGCAGCCTCTTTAGGCATGAAAAACCTGCTTAGTCAGAATTCTTTTCTAGAAATAATTTGTCTAATGGCTAAAACAGATTTCTTTGCTTGCCTGTGTTCTTGTTCTCCTCTTTAGTTCATTAGGAAAAAGTGAAATCCAGGAACATGGATGATAAGACAAACATAATGTTTTGCCCTGTTTCTGACTGATGCTAAAGTTTTTTTTGCAACAGGAAAGGTTTACATGCTGGTAAAGCTGTTTGATTAGGACAGTTACATAAAGAGTAATAAAACAATCAATCATCTCAAATGTAATTGTTTTGGTCAAATTTTGCTTTCATTGGCATGTTTTTTACATTCAGTCCAAAGTTTACAGTACAAAGAAGGCTGGCTTAGAACTTGAAGAGGTTTTTTACTAAACAGTTTCTTCTCTGTGTGACCAGTGATTCCAGTCAAAAACTTCTAATCTAGAATGCAGTAAAGACTCCAGCTTTTTATGTTTTGCAGTGAAGTTACTTAAATAACATTTCATTTTAGAACATGTACATGGGTCTGCTAATACTCTTCCTTGAAGAGTTACTGGGAGAAGGACCAGAATTAAAATATCACTGTGCCCTTGGGAAAAGGAGTGCCAAAACTGTAGTGCTTCTAGGTTGTAGATTTGTGCTGCTTGAGACACCTGGAGAAACAGTATGATGTCTCAGACCAGTCATATGATTTCACATCACAGTATGCCTGTGGTGTTTCTGTTTGTTACATGGCTTTGGTATAGCTTATAATCAATTATTTCCTGTAAGACAGATGATTTCTCAGTTTTCTTCTAACATGGATAGACTGGAAAAGAACCTCATTTCTTTGCTCTGGTGCATTTGGTAGGCAATATCTGATGGTAGTTCTGCTGGGCTTTAAGGACAGAAATATGATAGCTAAAAGCACACAAGAATAATACGGATTTTTGTCACTGATGTTCCACTGACACTGATGGAAAAGATTGCAAATCAAGCTGCATGTGTAGAGTGAAAAACTTAACATAGGATATTTGTACCTTTGAATAAATAATACCAGACAATTATATGACAGGGAAATTATTTTATGTTTTTCCCCTTGATGGGAAAGTTGCTACTATTACTTTTCCTTTCGTTGTAATGATAATTGTTAAACATTTTGTTAAAAATTTATAGAGGTCTGAATATGAGTTTGCAGAGAAATGTAGAACAGGCTCATTCTGTATTCTGCCTTCTTTCTTCATCTTAGTTGTTATCCTGCTCCATAAATGAGACAAGTGGTTTCAATTAGCAGTTGTCAGCCAACTGATGGTATTTCTTTGTCACAAGTCCTTTGACTTTCATTCCTTTGACCATTCCTTCCTATTTTACTAGGGACAAATATTTTGCTTTTGCTGACTGGATTCTACATAACCATTTTTGAAACTATTTCACTATTCACTATTCACAGACAGTGAAGGAGAATCCTAGGTGCACAACAGGACACGTTGGCTAATAGATGAATTTGCCACTGCTCAAGTGAGCCAGTAAGTCTTCCTGGATTCAGTGTCTCCAGGGGGAGTCTTGAAATCAGTGCTGGACAAACTTTTAATGTAAATAATGTGATTATACAAAAAATGCAAAGCTTGAGAAATAGCTGCTTGGTTTTGTGAAGATGCAGAATAATAAAATCACAGAATGGTTTGGATTGGATGATCCTCTGATTCCAACCCCCTGCTATAGGCAGGCACACCTCCCTCTAGACCGGGTTGCTCCAAGCCTCAACCAGCCTGGCCTTGAATGCTTCCAAGGAGAGAGCATCCACTACTTCACTGGGTTTCACCACTCTCACAGTAAAGAATTCCTTCCTGATACCTTGGCTGAATCTACCCTCTTCCAGTTTAAAACCAATTTTGCTTGTTCTGTCACTACCTGCCCTTCTGAAAAGTATCTCCCGAGCTTTCCTGTAGGTCCCCTTCAAGTACTGGAAGGCCACCATATGGTCCTCCAACAGCTTTCTCTTCTCCAGATTATGGAAGTTTAAAATGGTGAGATGATGAGAGCAGCAGTTTCCATTGTGAACAGAATGAGTAGCATCAGCTTAAAATCACAATTCTAAAACTGATTAGGAAAGCCAGAAGCTCATGAATAAGTAATAGATCTCGGAATTCAGTGATTTTGTTTTGTTATGGAGAAGTTAAACTTACAAAGAAAAGGAAATAATCTGTTTTGCAGTGATGATTTCCCTTTTGTGATTAGCATAGAGAGACTCAATTTAGTCATGATCCTAAATGTCCATTAGTGCAGCTACAATAAACATTCATGTGTTTATTTTTTATGCAGCATGTTTTCTGAGCCATTCTTCTTGTTCTTTGATCCACCTTTCTCATGTCAATCAAATTATCAGTACAATAATCACAAATCCCACTGGGATCTAATTATATATGTGGAACTTTGAGCAAGTTTACCTCTTTGCTAATATTACCTCCAAGATGTTTAACTCTGCAGTCAATCAAGCTTGCTTCTGCTCACATTATTATAGTTACACATCTTTACAAAGTGTTGAGACCTAAAATTCATACTGCTTCAGAAATAAGAAAGGCTTGTAAAGATGAAGTAATTCCTATTCAGCTTACTTTCTCAGTTTTCAGATGTACTGAACTCTGTCACTATCCACTCTGAGAGGCCCATTCTCCTTTCACATCTGTTAAGTGGCTGAGTGACTTAGTGAACTCAAGTAATCTCAACTTTCCTTGCTTGAGTCTGCTCTGTAATGAGCTGAGAACAGGACCTTGCTGACAATATGGAGACAAAGATGACAGCATAGTGGAAAGCATATTATGAGCATGTGGCATAGATAATTTTGAAATATCATGTATGAACTCTCTTCTTCCACAAGAATTTGAAAGGAAAAGGATTATGAAACACAAAGACTTACATGGATATGCTGCACTTTACAAGAAAACTGGTTTTGGATCAGTCTATTTCAAAGATTTAAGCAAAGTAGTTCTTAAAAGAACTGTTGTTACAATTGAGATCACAATTTATGTATGTATGTATGTATCTGTAATTGTCTTTATTTGCTATAACAAGCAGTCACGTATGCATCTTTTCCATGTGATGGAAATTAAGAGAACCATTGGTGACCAACAAGGACAAAACATATGTATCATACTGAAGCCTATGTTAAACTGAAACTTGTGGACTCCAGCTTCCTGAGTTTAAGTGTTTAATGAAAATGAAATCATTATCTCCTTTCTAGGCAGGTAGAGAACTCCTGTGGGATTTAAATACATGCATCAGCAGAAGAACAGACTTGTGTGTTCTGGCAAGTTCACACCCACAGTGTTACACCTTGTTTTTGCAATCTGGGTAGTTAAGAAAAAATACTGTTTTGAAAAAGAAAATGAGTACAAATCCTAAAATGTGATGTTTCCAGTACTGAGTTCTAAAAAGCAGCTTCCAAATGCTGTATAGCACTTTACTTGCAAATCTAAAACTAAATATATAAAAAAAAAAGTTCTTGAAACCCTACTAAACTCTTCCTTTCGGGGAGAGATTTTTTATGTCAGTTGAAGAGCAGGGCAAAATTCTACCTGATTGATTGATTGATAAACCTATGGAAAAAAAATTGCTTTCATGGAAGGTGCTGAAAAACTCTTAACCAAAATATGTCATTGGATGCTACTTCAGTTTAATACAGTAAGTTGTTCTAAAATGGCTTACAGTTAGAAGACAAGGCAGCTATGAAGGAGAGAGAAAAGTGTGGGGAGGAAAACTATGAAACTAAAGGAACCCTACTCACTATTAGTTCTTCCGAGATGACTGAGGCCATTTGAAATGATCTCTGAAACAATATACCTTGACTTGTTGATTTTATGCAGACAACTTTACTTCATTGTTTGTATTTTCTATAGCTGCTAAAATCTATATGTATTAAGGATAGCTTGTTTAGTCTTCTTTCATGTTTTTTTCATACCTTCCTTCATCCAGTATGTAGGTTTTCCCATGTGTTGAGAGAGACGGTGTGTTCTGCTTTTTATACAGTTGTCTTTTATGTCATTATAGTGTGATGAGTTTATCACGTTTGTCTGCCTTTTAATGTCTTTTGGGAAAAAAAAAAAAAGTCATTTTTGCTTTATAATGTATCTCCTGCAAAATCAATTTAATACTAACTTCATTTATTGCGCAGAGCTGGTTATTTGCCTCAGAATATTCCTTTGGAGATTATCAGATACCTTTCAGAGGAGAAGGATTTTCTACCTTGGCATGCAGCCAGCCAAGCTCTTTATCCTCTAGATAAATTACTGGACCGCACAGAAAACTACAACATCTTCAGTGTAAGAGATGCATAGTCTCCCTATCTCTTTTTCTCTTCCCTCACTCCCTTTTATTACCAAGAATTGAACTATCCTCCAGTTAGATTCTGTAAGTGACCTAGGGATACTAACTTCCTTCCTAATTGTTCCCTTTTTAAACATACCAGTTGTCAAGCTTTGGTTCATTTGCTTTTGAACAGTAATGACTTGTTTGAGACGCATATGATAAATGGAAGGACAAGTAATTATTTCTCCTACAGAATACTACAACAAACAAAGTATTCTACTTAAAAGAGCCAAAGTAATCTATTTGCAGATTTTTATCTGTTGTGGAGCCCCTCAGCTGTATTTGGATTGATACCCAAGCTCAGCAAGAACATCAAATGCAGGCACAACTTACACAGGATGCATGCCACTGAAGTAAAGATTTGTAGTCATTATTTTCTCCAAAAAGCCATTGTGAATTCGATTCAGTTACCTTAATTAACAAGGATTAGATCACCATTGAATCAGAAGCCCATTCATAATTGGGTCCGAAGGGACAGCAGTAGCAACTAGCAATAGGTAATTAAGATGGACATGACAAATATCTTACCAAGGGAAAAAAAGAAAATCCTAGCTATGCTGAAATGTGTTTAATGAAAGTACAGTGAATTTTATGTAGTTTACATATTTTGAATGTTGTGTAATTTAATAAAGATATTTGAGTGAGAACACCCTAAAGCTTGAAATGTTTAGATGTGTTTTTTTCTTCTTAGATGTGTATTTGTTTCTGTGTGTGTACATGTGTTTATACACACATGCTCAGAAAGCAGGAAGCTAGAGGTGACTATGTATATATAAATCCATACACACATAAATATATATGCAGAGCTACCTGCTCTCTGCATTGTAGGCTTTCATGCAAACCAGAGCTGTATCATGAAATGATGTTGAATTAATTTGCATTTGCAGTCTGTTGTTAACTACACAGAAAAATTCTTACCAGACTGCCATTGGTATTTCACTTTTAAACATACCTGTGTAAAGAAAAGACAATTTTAATAAATAAAAACAGTAAAATTCACAGCTGGCTTGTGTTTTATCACTACTGATGAGAGCTTTGAAAGCAGAGGTGATAGCAGAGGAAATAAAAAGTAATTTTAGTCACAGAATAACATATCTGCTAGAGAAAGTGGCGCTATGAATCTCCTTTTGTCCTAACATCACATATACGTGCCCATGCATCTATAATAATAAAGCAGATGCTATTCTGTGCAGTTCTTTATATTTCGGTTCTGTTTTTCAAATTGGTGAATTTTACTGGCAGAAGATTATGCTGAATACGACAGTTGTTTTCTTTACAACTGGTCAGAATATGTAAATACATCTCCTGTGTAAAAAATAAAATAAGCTAAAATACATCTTGTGCTGGGTTTGTTGCTTAAAATATAGTGTAATTAAATGGTACAAAGCTCATTTGCAGCCACGTTATTCAATATTCTGAGGTCAATTGACTGTGCCTATGGACCATTTTTGCCCTGGCTGTGACTATCAAAACAATATTCTTTTAAAAATGAACATACGCGGTATAGTTGAGATTAACTGTAGATTAGATGTAAAGCTGTTGGCATTCTTGCAACTTCCCAGCCATATACTGTGAGTTCAAAATAGCATGTAGGAAACCCTAAATTGTTATATTTATTATGACAGTAAGCTGGCTAATATGAGGCATCTGATCAATTAGCTTTTCTACAGATTGTTTCTCACTACACCAATGAAGGAAAATTTTATGTGGACTTTGCTTACTGTTGATTGTATTTCAAGTTTGAAACAAAGACCAAAACTAAATGTTAACACTGAATATTCTTTTCCTCTTCAGGAGTATATTTTAAGACAAGTCGCATCAATGTATCTCAAGCTTGGATGGCCAACGAATAATTTAAACAAATCGCTTGTTCAAGCATCCTACCAACATGAGTACTGTTATATTTCTTTGTTATTGTTTTTTTTTTATTTGTTTGTTTTCTTACAGAATGTAGGTGTAATATTGCACAAAATGATCTTCAGCATGTCATACTTTCCTAGCTCTCTCTTCCTTCTGTTTTTTCTTTTGGGGTTAAAAAGAGAGCAGTGAGATGCTGTGAGATGAATTCTGTCTTCCTTAGTTTGAAGAACACTATTCATTAAGCATTAATTTAATATTTGTCTGCACTGGATATTTAAGAACTTGGACTCTTGACCACAAGAGATCTGAAGACTGAATAAATGTAAATGAAATCTAATTTTGATGCATAACCTTTCTTTTACTGTTGCAGCAGCTATAGGCTTGCTTTTGTAACTAGATTATTATCTTTGATTTGTTACACAACTATCTGCTGCCACTATGTTATAAGAAATGCATATTTGTAAATTTTTTACTGCATTTATTAATGGAACCTTATTGCTTTCTTTAATTTGGGCAGAGAGTTGCGCCGGGAAGTCATCATGTTGGCCTGCAGCTTTGGTAACAAACACTGTCACCAGCAGGCTGCAACATTAATTTCAGATTGGATTTCTAGCAATAGAAACCGGTAAGTGGAAAATAAATGTTATTACTCCTCTTTTCCTACTCAGAGTCAGTATAGCTGGCCTCCTCTTCCTTTCATGACCCCCCATAGTGGCCAACTCTGCAGAGTGATATGGGATGAAGAAGAGGTCATCAGCCATTATTAAAAGTCTGTGGGGCTTCAAAATGAATAATTTTATTCACATGTATGACTGAGTGGAGGGGACACCAATGCAGCCTCTGCTCACTCCTGATAACTTGCCGTCAAATAATGATATGCTAGAGGGCAAAAAACCAGAGTTTTCAGGAGGAGTTGAAAGGAAGAAAGATAAAAGAGCATTGCATCAGCAGACAAATACAGGTCTGTCTAATCCAGAGAGCAGAATGTGCCAAATGATAGGAAAAGTGAGGGAGGCTAGAGGCAGAAGGACTGAGGAGTAAGAAGGAGTTGGAACAACATATGTAAGGGAAATACTATACTGTACTTAAAGGGGAAGAGTTGGAAGTTAAATGTGATTCAGAAATAGATGGAAAAGCTCACATAGGGTTTCACAGAGGGTAGGATGATAACTGATGTATTGAGCAATAACAGCATAGAGCTTGTCTGACAGAAAATTTGTTAGGCTGTCCTGGCACGGGGTTATACAGCTTGAGAAGGGAACACAGGCCATGGTCAGCATATGAAATTTATCTTTTAAGTGTGAAAAAACAAATACTTTTAAATTACTGAAAATACAAGTAGCAATCAGTAGACAGTGAGATAAGTACAGACTGTAGATTAAGACTACGAGTTCATGAGAAAGAACAATGGATTTTCTCATTCTGTAGCATATGGGTGTAGAGGTATGCATTTGTGTAAATATGACAATTTGGTTTAAAATAGCCTTTCATAAAAATGAGAAAAAAAGTGTTATTTTTTTAGTCCTAATCTTGTGTTAGAACTTCAAAAGGATCAGATCTCTGTAGACATACAGGCATTTAGGATTTATCAAAGACATCTCAGCCCATCAGGTGTTTATTTGCAGTTGAAATATGTCTCTCTCTCTCCCTTTGTAATCTTTAAAAATCCTTTGCAGGCATATCCAATTACATAGTACTTGATAGTACCTCAGTGTTTTTTAAAAAACAACCATCAAAATAGGAATGACTGGAAATTGTATTTCCATAAGAACTTGAAACATCCACAGATATCTTGGAATTAGAATCATAGAATCATAGAATCACAAGATTGGAAACGACCTACAAGATCATCTAGTCCAACCGTCTCCTCATCACCATTGCCACCACAAGCACCTCCTCATCCAGACGCCTCTTGAACACTGCCAGGGACAGCGACTCCATCACCTCTCTGGGCAGCCATTCCAGTGCCTGACCACTCTCTGAGAGAAAAAGTTCTTCCTTATGTCCAATCTAAACCTCCTCTGATACAACTTGCGGCCATTACCCGTGTCCTGCTCGTTGCCTAGGAGAAGAGGCCAAATCTGTCTTCACCACAACCCCCCTTCAGGAGGTTGTAGAGTGCAATGAGGTCTCCCCTGAACCTCCTCTTCTCCAGACTAAACAATCCGAGCTCCCTCAGCCGCTCCTCATAAGACCTGTGCTCCAGACCCCTCACCAGTTTTGTTGCCCTTCTCTGGACACGCTCCAGGGCCTCAACATCTTTCTTGTAGTGAAGGGCCCAAAACTGAACACAGTACTTGAGGTGCGGCCTCACCAGTGCTGAGTACAGGGGGATGATCACCTCCCTGCTCCTGCTGGCCACATTATTTCTAATGCAGACCAAGATGGCATTGGCCCTCTTGGCCACCTGGGCACACTGTCGGCTCACGTTCAGCCGAGCATCAACCAACACCCTCAGGTCCCTCTCTTCTTCACAGTCATCCAGCCACTCATCCCCAAGCTTATAATGCTGCATGGGGTCGTTGTGCCCAAAGTGCAGGACCTGACACTTGGCCTTGTTGAACCTCAGCCCATTCACCTCAGCCCAGTGATCCAGCTTGTCTAAATCCCTCTGAAGGGCCTCCCTATCCTCAGACAGATCGACACCACCTCCCAACTTGGCGTCATCTGCAAACTTACTGAGGGTACACTCAGTCTCCTTCATCTAGGTCATCAATAAAGGTATTAAACAAGATGGGTCCCAGTACTGACCCCTGGGGGACAGCGCTTGTTACGGGTTGCCAGCTGGACTTAACTCCATTCTCCACTACCTGTTGGGCACAGCCCTCTAGCCAGTTCCTTACCTAAAGAAGGGTATACCTGTTCAGACTACAGGCAGCCAGTCTCCCCAGAATACTGTGAGAGACCATGTCAAAAGCTTTGCTGAAGTCTAGGTAGACTACATCAACAGCTCTTCCCTCATCTACCAGTCTGGTCACGCAGTCATAGAAGGAGATGAGGTTGGTCAAGCATGACCTGCCTTTCACAAACCTGTGCTGGCTGGGTCTGATCCCCTGGACACCACGCACATGCCATGAAATCTCATCCAAGATTATTTACTCCATAACTTTTCCTGGTACCGAGGTCAGGCTGACAGGCCTGTAGTTCCCCAGATCCTCTTTACGGCCCTTCTTGAAGATGGGAGTCACATCAGCAACCCTCCAATCCTCTGGGACCTCACCAGTTAACCAGGAGCGCTGATAGTTGGCTGAGAGCGGCTCGGCAATCACCTCCACCAGCTCCCTCAGCACCGGGTGTAGCCCATCCGGTCCCATGGACTTGTGACAATCCAGATGGAGGAGGAGCTCTCTGACTGTCTCCACCTGAATCACTGGGGGCATATTCTGAGTAGCGTCCCAGACTTCCAGATCAGGGCATAAAAAGCCCAGGGGATAGCTGATCTGGCTATTAAAGGCAGATGTAAAGAGGGCATTGAGGACCTCAGCCCTGTGTATGACTATGTACCTTTAAATATTGTATGATTGGGTTAAAATTTTCTTGTGTAAGATGATTTCAGATACATTCACAGTGAAATATATGCCCTAAGTTATATATACCCTTAGGCTGCAATGATATGTATTAAACTGTTCAAAAAGGAAATTGTGGAGAAATAATGATTGAAAACAATCTGGAAAAGTAATTTACTTAGATATTCATTTACAAAATTGTATAATCAAACCTAACACCATTTATTAGTATGCACAGTGGTATATTATTCAGTGTTAAGATGCTGCCACCCAGCAAAGCTTTCTCCTAGCCTGTGTCTTCATTCCTTCCAAAAGAATTGAAGGAGTCATAAGAAAAAGGAAAAAAAAAAAAAAAAAACACCTTATTGCTTTGCTAACAATAGCAAGAGAGGAAAGGCATAAATTTAAGGAGCCGTCTGAAGATTCATCTTAGACTTTCTATGAGGCCATTCTCAGGAGCACAAGATTGTGGCTGCCAGCATATGACTAGTATTATGATAAAAGCATCACAGCAGGGCAGAGGAAGAGAATAGCTACTAAGCTAAAGCGGTACATTTCTCCAAAGGAACTGCATGCTTTTGAAAAATAGCTGCAACAAGTAATGTAATTATAGAATATGGATTGACACTCAGCTGATAAATAGAGATACTGTCTGCAAAGAAGACAGAAATACATTTTTGTTTATTTATAAAGATTATAGTATTTGTTCTATTCCTCACCCAAATTCTATTCTCAGAGCAGTTTCACATGCTGAATGTAACTAACAAATGAGCAGATTCATTTAGTATCTACTCACATTGAAAAGGTTAGTAGTATCCAGAGAATTGTGGTCAATGGCCCCACATCTGGATGGAGATCAGTGACAAGTGTTGTCTCTCAGGGTTCAGTACTGGGTCCAATACTCTTAAATATCTTCATCGATGACATTGACTGTGGGATCAAGTGCACCCTCAGCAAGTTTGCTGATGACACCAACCTGTGGGGTGCATTTGGCACTCATGGGAATGGAAATCCATCTACTGGGACCTAGGCAGGCTTGAGCAGTGGGCCCAGAAGGGCTTCATGAGGTTTGGTAATCCAAACTTCATACTATGAAGTAATTCACAAGCAACAGACTCTGGAATGAGACTAGTGAATTAGGCTTGTGTCCCACGATCTTAATCAATACAAAATCAGTGTAATATTGAGTGTAAATGTTCATGAAAGTGTACAGGCAGTAAACCATGTAAAGGGGGTTGTTGACTCTCTGGCAGCTACTTCAGTCAAATTTTGAACGAGCATAACAGAATGCCTAATTATTAATGCCGTATAAATGCTAAAATTCATAACTTTTTGCCATGTTTTTGATCTATAGATTTTTAGAAGTTCTTATGAAATGAGTCTCTATTTTACTGGTATAATTTAATTGTGGATAAAGTGTTACGTAATATAGAAAAACACAGTGATGTCTAACTCTGTTTTATCAGCATTTGCCTGCAGTTTCTGTTGTTCCTAGTAATTATATTTAGTCTGGTAGGTCCAAAAATTAATTACCAGCTACTCTTCACTGTAGGGTACTGAAATAATCATAATTATCAGTTACTGTTTGTACTTTGTAATTACATGGTCTTTACTGTGCAAATAATTTACCACTGTTCATGAAGTAAAATAGTGGTCATTCATAACACAAAGCCAAAAATCCTCTTTGTATTTCCAGCATTATTTGGAAAAAGCCATTAAATTTCCATTCCAACCATAGCAGTTCAGATTTTCTTAAGGAATTAATGAATAATAGTGATCTGCAACATTCAGCTCACCATACAGTTGGCCTTCCCAGCTACAAGCACATGGTGCTGACTCATCTCAAGCTTTTTATCTGTTGATGTCTGGGGCTGGCTTAAGGCATCGCAGCACACTTTACTCCTCTAACTGAAGCTCTGTTACTGTGTCTTATTTAGTTAGCAAGAGAAATAATTCATCTCTCCTGCCTAAAAATGAGAGTGTTCATCTGAAAGAAGAGGGCTTGAACACCTGAAATATCAAGATTACTTATTATGTAAAGGATTTGAGGTGGTATTACTCACTACCATTTTTAGAAGAAAAAATAAGAAACATAAAAAACTGTAGCTCGAGATAGAAG